GCTGTACTGTACCTGTCCTCTCCAGTGTGCTCTTCCCATAGCTCACGTACTTTTTCAGCTACTCAATGCAGATCTGGGTATAGTAGGCATTTTGTGTAGTAAGAAATGCCTGCTGCAATAGAGCCACAAAGCTCAGGGTCTTGAAATCTAAAATCAGGAAGTCACTCCCATCATAACCATGTTGATCATAACCAACTGTGGCCCCAGTTTCATCATCCCACTCACAGCCGTACATCTGCTGAAATGTGTGGATACCTGAACTGAAAGAGGAGAGAATTAGCAGGCAGGTTTGATCCGGTTTCATCCTCTGGGCGTCATTTTCACAGCATTTCAAACAGGCCTGTCAGCAGCTCCTCACTCTCAGCATCCTGCATGTACACTGCAGCTTTCAGGCCTTTTTAACTGTGTGACATTAAATTCACATATGAGCTGCAAAATAGTAAAAAGCAGACCCAGCTCTGATTTCATGTTACCGGAAGTTACCGGAGTCTCCCGCAAACAGACAGCAGCACATTTTACTGCTGGCATCTCAACCCCCTGGCAGGCAGCAACTCGGCTTGGGTGGGATCTGACGTAACAGCCTACTGCCGTATCGCCCAGACATTACACGGCGGTATACGGTATTTTGAAAAACAACTCTATTCTGATATTTCCAAATAAAATATGCCGGGTGTGAGTGGAGGGCAGGGTTTTTGCTAATGAAAATACCGCGGTATACAGTATTACCGTAATACTATGGAATATAAAGCTATGTAACACACAGAGAGAGAATATAACCTTAGAATACAACATTAAGCCAGTGTAGCCCGTAACAGAACATAAGCTTTTTTGAAATTCCCGGCATGTTTCTGCATCACATCATATTTATTAGGATAAGTCGTCAGGGTCAGCTCCTGTTGTCCCAGTCTTTTGTGTCCCTTCCCCGTTTGGCCAGCAGGCATCTCTGGCCATCCTGCCCCTCCTGTCACCCTTTGTGTTTTCCCTTGCTCCCTGTTGGCCGCATAGCTCAACGAGTTGAGCATGTGGCTGCCTGTAAATCCCTCTGTTGTCTGTTTAAGTCTTGCCTCCCTTGTTTTTGTAGATTCTGTTCCATTGTGTTTCAATTGTATCAGTTTTCTGGTTCCTGTGTTTTGATTTATATTTGGTTGTTGCTTTTGTGCCCTTGATTGTATTTTTACTGGTCTGTCATTCCCAGTGTTAGATTCTGTTTCCTTGTTTTCCTCTCCCAGTCTCTTGATTTAATTATTAGTTTCACCTGCCCTGTGTTAGTCTTGTTACTCCCTCAGTATTTAAGTACAGTTCAGTTCACCAGTGGTTCATTGTTTGATGTTGCATGCCAATGATGATGATGATGATGGTGTTGTTGTTGTTGATGATAATGTTTGTTAGTTGTGTTAATTGTACTCTGCTTATGAATTTACTTGAGTTCTTTGAGGAAGCTACAAGAGAAATTGATCACAAGAAGGCCTACGATGTGATCTACTTAGATTTCCAGAAGGCCTTAGATGTTGTCCCCCACAAACGGCTCTTGCTTAAGCTCAAAGCTGCAGGGATTTTAGGAACTGTGTTTTTGGGATCAAAAACTGGTAAACTGACAGGAAGCAGCAAGTAGTTATTAGAGGCACAATGTCACAGTGGTCCTGTGTTCATAGTAGGGTACCGCAGGGTTCAATTTTAGGACCACTATTGTTCTTAATTTACATTAATGATATTGACACCAATACATACAGTAAACTGGTTAAATTTGCAGACAACACCAAGGTGGGTAGGGTAGCAGATACTGATCTAGCAGCAGAGAGGCTACAACTGGATCTGGATTTAATTAACAACTAGGCTGATA